AAGGAGAGGTTTTTATGCTGAGCCATGCTGGCTCAGGAATTCTGGGAGTTGAAGTCCACGAGTCACAAAAGAGCCAAGGTGGCCTACCCCTGCTCTAAAAGGACTTTACTGCGCTTTCAGAAATTCTGAAATTTACACTGAAAATTTAAATCCTGGGGGACTGGCGCTCCACCAATCACCATTTGCGTTCTCATATTGGGGTAGTGCTTCTCAACCTTGGCAACTGGAAGGTGGGTGGACTTCAACTCCCAGAATTCCTCAGCCAGCCGCGGGGAATTCTGGGGGTTGGGAGTCCACCCACCTTCCAGTCGCCAAGATTGAAAAACACGGTGTGGGGTTTTATGTAAAAGCCATCTTTCTGACTATAAGCAAGACCTGCTTGTGTGAATTGTACATTGTTAGAAATGGGGAGGCCTCCTTGATCTTGTCTCCTGCTCTGGAATATTGCTCCAGTATCCAAATAAGACTGTTCTTTAATCCCTCCCTTCCCCCTTTTAAAATATTTGTAATGCTCTTGTTTTTTTGGGTTCTCTCCTCCCCAGCTTTCTGGCTTTGCTTTGAATGTGAATATGCTTTGTTTCGCACCTCACTTGGGCTCTTGGTTTTTCTTTGTTTCTTTTGAGCATTAATAAAGATGATAAAATGATCTCTTAACATACGTCAACATTCTTCTGCCTTGTCATCCATCTTGGCCCTGGTGTCTTCCTCTCCATCCGGGTTTGCTTCTTTTTATCCTATTTTTTCAGGACACACGGGATCGTTCCATTTGAGACTTGTTCGCCTTCCGTCTGTAGTCCAGTCCCAAATCCAATCTTTAAATGTATTGTTTGCAATCCATAATCCTTTGCAACATCGTCAATATGCAGTGCCAGTGCCCCCAAGTGTACACGTTCACACATGCACATCTCAGAAATTTAAAAAGATTGGATATAAACCCTAAATCTTAAAGATGTTTGCATATTTATGTGCAAAGACACTTTATTTTGTTGATTAATATCCTGCTTTTATTGTTATTTATAAATAACTCAAGGCAGCGTATATAGCAGGGGTAGGCAACCTTGGCTCTTTTATGACTCGTGGACTTCAACTTCCAGAATTCCTGAGCCAGCCATGCTGAGGGGAAAGGGAGAGGTTTCCAAGCTGAGCCATGCTGGCTCAGGAATTCTGGGAGTTGAAGTCCACGAGTCATAAAAGAGCCAAGGCTGCCTACCCCGGTCTGGCTGAACCGAAGGGCTGGGGCTCCTTCCATCACGGGCCTCTTTCCTTTTTCAGGGTGTAGGTCAGGGGTAGGCAACCTTGGCTCTTTTATGATTCGTGGACTTCAGTTCCCAGAATTCCTGAGCCAGCATCGCTCAGCTTGGAAACCTCTCCCTTTCCCCTCAGCATGGCTGGCTCAGGAATTCTGGGAGTTGAAGTCCACGAGTCATAAAAGAGCCAAGGTTGCCTACCCCTGGTATATACAATACTCCTCCCTCCTCCTATTTTTCCCACAACAATCCTGTGAGGTGGTTTGGACTGAAGAGAGAGGGATTGGCCAAATGTCATCCAGCTAGGGATGGGACTAGAACTCACAATCTCCTGGTGATTGGCCCAAAATTATCCAGCCAGCTTCCATTCCTAAGCCGGGTCTAGAACCCAGTCTCCTGGTGATTGGCCCATCCAGCTAACTTCCATGCCTAAGGTGGGACTATAATTCACAGTCTCCTAGTTCCTAGCCTAGTGCCTTCACCACTGAGCCAAACTGGCTCTCATTTGCATGTCTAATGAAAACTCTGGCTTGATTTGTTTGATGATCCATTTGGTTTTGTTTTTTTTGCTGTCCACAATTTTCTCTGGAGTCTTCCCTAACAAGGGCCAGTGCAGTGGCTCAGCAGTTAAGACGCTGGGCTTGTCAGCTGGAAAGTCTGGCAGCCCAGGTTCAAGACCCGAGTGCCACATGACAGGGTGAGCTGCCATCCTTGCCCCAGTTCCTGCCAATATTAACAATTCGAAAGCATGCAAATGTGAATAGATCAATAGGTACCACTTCAGTGAGAAGGTAACAGTGCTCCACGTGAGCCCAGAAATATCTTCAGCCCTGGATCAATGGTCTTGAAATAGAGATGAGCACCGTCTTTTATAGTTGGCAACGTCTAGCTCAGGGGTAGGCAACCTTGGCTCTTTTATGACTCGTGGACTTCAACTCCCAGAATTCCTGAGCCAACATAGCTCAGCTTGGAAACCTCTCCGTTTCCCCTCAGCATGGCTGGCTCAGGAATTCTGGGAGTTGAAGTCCACGAGTCATTAAAGAGCCATGGTTGCCTATCCCTGGACTAGCGGATAAAATCCACAGGGACTGCTTCTCTAACAACGGCGCACAGAGAAATGTATGCTTGCAAAATCGGAAAGAAGTTAAAAGTGCATCTATAAAATGCTCCCCCTATCCAAAATTGGGGCATGGCCCAACGGCAATTAAAATGAAAACTTCAGCTGAAAAATCTTAAAAATTTCCGACACACTGGCATTGACCCTTGACTAACAGTTTAGTTCCGGAGTGCTCCGCTATTTTCAGCATCAGCCTCTAAATGGAATATTAAAATGGGATATACGCCCAAATGTGCTTTTTTATTTCCTATGTTCCATTTTTAAAATTTTCCTTTCTCCCGATACATAGTTCTTTTCTATATTCATTCCAGCTTTATTTGCTTCCTAGACTTAATAGGTTCCCTAAACAGTCCACATATCAACAACCTAGGATATGCAGATGATACCACTCTAATGGCAGGAAGTGAAGAGGAACTAAAGAGCCTCTTGATGCGGGTGAAGAAAGAGAGTGCAAAAGTTGGCTTGAAACTCAACCTTAAGAAAACCAAAATCATGGCATCCGGCCCTCTCAATTCCTGGCAAATAGATGGGGAAGAAATGGAGGTAGTGACAGATTTTATCTCTCTGGGCTCCAAGATCACCTCAGATGGGGACTGCAGCCAAGAAATTAAAAGACGCTCACTCCTGGGGAGGAAAGCTATGGCAAATCTAGACAGCATACTAAAAAGCAGAGACATCACCCTGCCAACAAAAGTGCGTATAGTCAAGGCCATGGTTTTCCCAGTTGCAATGTATGGCTGTGAAAGCTGGACCATAAGAAAGGCTGAGTGCCAAAGAATTGAGGCCTTTGAACTACGGTGCTGGAGAAGACTCCTGCGAGTCCCCTGGACTGCAAGGTGATCAAACCAGTCAGTCCTAGAGGAGATCAACCCCGATTGCTCTTTAGAAGGCCAGATCCTGAAGTTGAAACTCAAATACTTTGGCCACCTGACGAGAAGGAAGGACTCACTGGAGAAGAGTCTGATGCTGGGAAAGATGGAGGGCAATAGGAGAAGGGGACGACAGAGAATGAGGTGGCTGGATGGAGTCACTGAAGCAGTAGGCCTGAGCTTAAACAGACTCCAGAAGATGGTAGAGGACAGGAAGGCCTGGAGGAACGTTGTCCATGGGGTCGCGATGGGTTGGACACGACTTCGCAACTAACAACAAGAAAACAGTCCACAGGGTGCTATGGGTATAAACTAACTTGGCAACTTTTAAGATGTTTGGACTTCAGCTCCCAGAATTTCCTTGCCTGCCTGGGGAATTCTGGGAGTTGAAGTCCACACATCTTATAGTTGACAAATTCAAAAAGCACCTGGTACAGATAAATTGCTGGAGATGATGCCCACCAGTTGGTAACCAAGGAGGAAACATTGGTATTTTTCCAAACTGCTTTATTATAATTTCCGTTCCTCACCTTATTTCCACATTTAACCCATATTTTGCAGCAATTTATCCAACTTCATTATACTCCTAGCATGCTTATTATGAAGTAACATTCCCCAAGCATTCCTAAGTTTAGTCTACTCTCTAAAAGGCAGGGGTCTCCAAACTTGGCAACCTTTAAGACTTGTGGACTTCAGTTCCCAGAATTCCCATAGCTGGCTGAGGAATTCTGGGAATTGAAGTCTGTAAGTGAAAAGTCTACAAGGTGAGAAAAATAAAGTTCTACATTTAGGGGGAAAAAATCCAAATGTACAGGTACCTTGCTCAATAGTAGCAACTGTAAGAGGGACCTTGGAGTCCTAGCAGACAATCACTTAAATATGAGCCAGCCGTGTGCTGCAGTTGCCAAAAAAGCCCACACAGTGCTGGGCTGCATTAACAGAGGGATAGAATCAAGATCACATGAAGTGTTAATACCACTTTACAATGCCTTGGTAAGGCCACACTTGGAATACTGCATCCAGTTTTGGTCACCACAATGTAAAAAAGATGTTGAGACCCTAGAAAGAGTACAGAGAAGAGCAACAAAGATGATTAGGGGACTGGAGGCTAAAACATATAAGGAACGGTTGCTGGAACTGGGTATGTCTAGTTTAATGAAGAGAAGGACGAGGGGGGACATGATAACCATGTTCCAATATCTCAGGGGCTGCCACAAAGAAGAGGGAGTCAAGCTATTCTTCAAAGCACCTGAAGGCAGGACAAGAAGCAACGGGTGGAAACTAATTAAGGAGAGAAGCAACCTAGAACTAAGGAGAAACTTCCTGACAGTTAGAACAATTAACCAATGGAACAACCTGCCTCCAGAAGCGGTGAATGCTCCAACAGTGGAAGTTTTTAAGAAGAGACTGGACAGCCATTTGTCTGAAATGGTATAGAGTTTCCTGCCTGAGCAGGGGGTTGGACTAGATGACCTCCAAGGTCCCTTCCAACATTATTATTATTATTATTATCATCATCATCATCATCATCATCATCATCATCATCATCATCATCATCATCATCATCATCATCATCATCATCATCATTATTATTATTATTATTATTATTATTATTATTATTATTATTATTATTATTATTATGTCTTAAAATTGCCAAGTTTGGAGACCCCTGGTCTAAAGGTTAGCTAGGCACTAGAACCACAAGCAGTCAAGCAATCTTCAAAACCCTCAAAAGTTCTGCCCATCAAGTTCAGCACTGAGAAAAATTCAGACGGACGATCCTCCATCTTTGTGGATTCTCTGATGTTTATGCAGGATCGAGTTTCGGCTGAAACTCTTCCCGCACTCGGAGCAGCGATACGGTTTCTCCCCTGTGTGGATCCTCTGATGGGAGAGCAGGTGATCGCTCCGACGGAAGCCCTTCCCACACTCGGAGCACTTATAGATCTTCTCCTTGGTGTGGATTCTCCGGTGTAAAGTCAAGTGCGGGCTCTGGCTGAAACACTTCCCGCATTCGAGACACCGATAGGGTTTTTCTCCCGTGTGGATCCGCCGGTGCAGAGACAAGTGAGTGCTCTGGTTGAAGCACTTCCCGCACTCGGTGCACCGATACGGCTTCTCCCCGGTGTGGATCCTCTGATGGGAAGTCAGGTGGGTGCTTTGGCTGAAACTCTGCCCACACTCCAAACATTTGTACGGCCTCTCGCCCGTGTGGACGGCGCGGTGTACAGTCAGCTTCCGGCTGTGGCTGAAAGTCTTTCCGCACTCCGGACAAGTGAAAGGTTTTTCTCCCGTGTGGGTGATCTTGTGCAAGATGAAATAGGTGCTCTGGCTAAAACTTTTCCCGCACTCCAAACATTTGTAGCGCCTCTCCCCGGTGTGCATCCTTCGATGCTGGGACAGGTGGCCGCTCTGCCGGAAGCCCTTGCCGCACTCCTGGCACTGATAGGGCCGTCGCTCCGTGTGGATCCTCTGGTGGACCTTGAGGCGAGATTTGGAACAAAAACTTTTCCCGCACGTGTGGCATTCATTCTGTCTCTTCTCCGGCTCGGCTGGGATTACCCGGACAGCCTCTTTGCTGGTGATGAATACATTCCTCTGTTTTTCGGCCACGGCCATTTTTTTTTCTTGCTGTCTTTCTGAGTCATCTGGAATCCTTGGGGGCGCTTCTGTCTCTTTGGTTTTAATTTCCGGAGAGACCCCACGTGCTTCCATCTACTTTTTTTCCTCTCCCCCACAGTCCTCCTGTGGCAGGATGGGAAGAGAGAAGGCCCAATTAATCATTCAAGACGAGAGTAGATGCTAGGCAACTATTCTCAGCCACTAGGCCAGCGGTAGGCAACCTCGGCTCTTTTATGACTCGTGGACTTCAACTCCCAGAATTCCTGAGCCAGCATGGCTCAGCTTGGAAACCTCTCCCTTTCCCCTCAGCATGGCTGGCTCAGGAATTCTGGGAGTTGAAGTCCATGAGTCATAAAAGAGCAGAGGTTGCCTACCCCTGCACTAGGCCCGTGTTTCTCAACCTTAGCAACTTTAAGATATGCGGACTTCAACTCCCAGAATTCCTCAGCCAGCATGCTGACTGACAGGATTCAGGGTCATCTTGAATCCTGAATTCCTCCAGATCAGTGTTTCTCAACACCTTGACAACTTTAAGATACGTCCACGTCTGGTTGGGGAATCCTGGCAGTTGAAGTCCACACATCTCAAAGTTGCTATGGTTGAGAGACACTGCTCCAGATACTGCTGAATAACCCCTCTTAGCATCCCCACAATTCCAGTCATGTTTCCTAGGAATTCTGGGAGTTGTAATTCAACAACAACCGGAGGAATAAAAATTACCCACCTTTGTGCTAAACCAGTTTGCTTAACTATAGTTTACTGGATAATAAAAGTTACTGACTTTTGGACTAAACCAGTTTGCTTAACTATGATTTACTGGATAATAAAAGTTACTAACTTTTGTACTAAACCAGTTTGCTTAACTATGGTTTACTGGATAATAAAACTTACCCACCTTTGTGCTAAACCAGTTTGCTTAACTATGGTTTACTGGGTAATAAAAGTTACTAACTTTTGTATTAAACCAGTTTGCTTAACTATAATAAAAGTTACTGACTTTTGTGCTAAACCAGTTTGCTTAACTATGGTTTACTGGATAATAAAACTTACCTACCTTTGGGCTAAACCAGTTTGCTTAACTATGGTTTACTGGGTAATAAAACTTACCTACCTTTGGGCTAAACCAGTTTGCTTAACTATGGTTTACTGGATAATAAAAGTTACTAACTTTTGTACTAAACCAGTTTGCTTAACTATGGTTTACTGGATAATAAAAGTTGCCTACCTTTGTGCTAAACTATGCTTAGCTATGGTTTACTGGATAAACTATAACTGTCCAGATAGGGGCACAGTGGCTCAAGCGGTTGTAATGCTGGACAGAAGGTTAGCAAGCCCACGTTCAAGACCTGAGAACTGCCATGGGGTGGGGACATGAAAGGCGCCCCCAACTGGACATCCCTAAAGGACGGTGATGTCACCGGCTAATCCTTTCAACCCGGAAACGCTTCGGTGCTTCTGACATGAGTGCAAAACTGTCCAGATTCACACAATACTCTAAGCCACAAACTCTGGTTTACAAACCAAGGGGGCTCAGTTGCCAAGCTAAACCAACATGCTTTTTTTTTATTTATGATTTTTAAAACATGTCTATCCAAACCTTAAATGTAAAACTTAATTAGTAAACCATTATGGCCTGCCCTACCGCATGGCATAAGCCAGCTATAGAAGACAGAGTATTAGAAAGAGCCTTAATTATTTACGGTGAATTAACCTTATTAATTACTAAGGTTAATCAACGCATTTAACACCGAATGCAATGCTGGTTGTACAAACTATGGTTTGTACTGCCACTAAAGCAGTATTTCCCAACCCTGGCAACCTTAAGATGGGCGGACTTCGATTTCCAGAGCTCTCCAGCCTGTTTGCATGTGGACCTCTACTCTCCATGCTAGCTGGGGAATTCTCGGAGTTGAAGTCCACCCATCTTGGAAAAACTCTGCACTTCAACCTGGCACTATGATGCCTACAGCACCTGTCCAGCTCTACAGCCACTGAACCCATCTCCTCCTCCTGCAGACTGACAGCCTCTTAGAAATGGAAAAAGCTGGTCGGATTTATTTCTAGGTCTCTCAAGCTCCCAGATTTAGGATGCCAAACCTCCAGGTGACCAGGAGGGGACAGTCAAAGAATAATCTCTGGATGGCTTTGCTGATCTGCAGGCTGGAACTTTTTTTTTTGCAGCCCAGCTCTCTCGCTCCCAGCAGACCCGCCCTGTCTCATCTCCAACCTTTCCCAGCCATAGATGGATCCAAGACAAAAAGCATTTCGTGGCTGAATCTGCTTTAACTCATATCTGGAGAGTGTTCCCACTTGCAGCCTGGAGCAAAAGCCTAACTCTTTTAGAAAAAAAATCAGACCTGGACGGGGCTGCTGGTTATGGTTGAGTGCAGATCTTAAGTTTTGCACAGCAGCGTCAGCGCACTTCTCTGGCAATCCTCTGTTCTCCTCCCAGTAAATCTTCAGCCCCCCCCTCCATCAAATTCCCCGATTTTCCTCCCCCCTCTCAACAAAAGAAGGCACAGGAAGTGACTTCACAGTAGACCCTCATTCCTTTTTTTAAAAAATAGCTTCTCTAGGCAGTTGACTTGCAGGATTTAACCCTTATTGCAAATTTCCAGAAGAAGAAATAAAAGGGGGGGGGAAACACCCCCCCGCTCCCGAAAAGGCTGCTGCAGTTAACATCTGGAAGAGACACTGGAGTTTGCAGGCAGCAAAACCCCCACGTGGTGTTTTTCCTGCTTTCCGACTTATGTCATTGCATTGTTATGTCTGCAATATGGGCTTTGGAGTGTGGGAAGTCAGCCCCCCCCCCAGAGAAAGAAATATTTTTGGAAATATTTAAAAGGCAGAATATATTTCCCTAAAGCAGTGATGGCGAACCTTTTAGAGACCGAGTGCCCAAACTGCAACCCAAAACCCACTTATTTATCGCAGGTGGGGGCGGGGGAGCAAGGTGGGCGTGGCCCACTGGGTGGGCGTGGCTGTGGTCATGGCAGACTGGGTGGGTGTGGCCACCTCAATGTTGCTCATGGGGAAGGACGCCTGTGGGGGCCGGGTAGGGTTGGGGGAGATCCAGAGGGTCTCTGGCAGGTGGGATGGTGGGCAGGAGGCTCATCCTGTGGGGTGAGGCGAGGTAGGGTGGGGGTGCCATTGCTGCAGGGCAAGGTGAGGCCAGGGCAGCTGCTGCCTGACACCGTCGGCCCCCACACACAGAGGCCAGCGAGCGCATGGAGGCCGACAGTGTCCGTCAACAGCCACAGCCTGCCGGCCCCTCAACCAGCTGTACTCTGGGGCTCCGCAGCCCGCCCCCAGCAGTTCAGAGAAGCTGCCTCTCAGCTGGACAGCCGGCCGACAGCTGAGGAGGCGATGCAGTGGGTCATGCCCAGGAAAAGGAGAGCATGCAAGGCCAGGAGGGATGGGTGGGAGGGAAACCAGCCATGCTGGGATGCATCCGGCCACATGGGACCTTGGCGAGTTAGCGGGCGGCTGGTTGAAGAGGGACGGTTGCCATCTCCGGGGCATGGTGCGCGTGTCCACAGAGAGGGCTGAGTGCCGCCTCTGGCACGCGAGCCATAGGTTCGCCACCACTGCCCTAAAGGATTTTAAAAGCAGAAACCAACCCCGCCCCCAAGTCTTTCTGTCCCAAACAGAAACCAAGTCTGCAAAAAATGCAGATGTGATAATCTTTCAGAAAGATTGGAGTCAGGAAGCTGGGACTAGGAGGAAAGATCCCTAGAATCAACAACCCCTCACACCAAAAATCTAAGAGTCATCAGCCCCAGCCCCAGGAAAGCAGGATATGACCCTTGGGACATAATAGGATTAACCCACCACCACCAGAAAGGCACACTCGGACTCAGGTCAAAGTTCATGCCACAGGAACAATTCCAAACAAAAAGCCTCAGAGGGTATAAAACCCACTCCCTACATGTGCCTTCTCTCTTTCTTCTTCTACATGTGCCTTCTCTCTTCAATAAACTGCAACCTTCTTTCTAAAGCAGTCGCCATGTTGTTTATTCCCGGCTTGGACTGAACCGCGACGAAGACTTTTCCTTCAACAATTGTATAACATTCTGGGTTCAAGCAACATCTGCTTTGGCCTTTGTTTCTTTTTTGGTTTATTAAAGATCTCCCAAATAGATTTAACACATCCTGGGGTTACCATCGGGTTACAAGGTAGTCCACAGCTCAGCCCGAATTTTCTGTTGCTAAGCAAGACATCGGCTAAGTGAATTTTGCCCCATTTTACGACCTTTCTTGCCACAGTTGTTAAAGTGAATCACTGCAGCTGTTAAGAGAGTAACGCGGTTGTTAACTGAATCTGGCTTCCCCGTTGATTTTGCTGGTCAGAAGGTTGCAAAAGGGGATACAAACCCCTCCCCCCCAGACACTGAAACCGTCATAAATAGGTGCCAGTTGCCAAATGTCTGAATTTTGATCACATGATCATGGGCGAGGTTGCAACGGTTAAGTGTGAAAACTGGAGGTAAGTAACTTTTTTCAGAGCCATTGTAACTTCGAATGGTCATTAAATGAACTGTTGTAAGTCGAGGATTACTTGTATGTCAGAATAAAGGGGAGAATATAAACAAGAACAATTTAGACTTGCCTCATTCATGGGCTGGGAATGGGAGGAAGGCATAAGGAAGAATAGGATAGGATAGGATAGGATAGAATAAGAATAGGATAGGATTAGAATAGGATAGGATAGGATAGGACAGGACAGGACAGTGATGGCGAACCTTTTAGAGACTGAGTGCCCAAACTGCAATCCAAAACCCACTTATGCATCGTCCGGTGCTGGGTGGGTGTGGCCCATTGGGTGGGTGTGGCCCTTTGGGTAGACGGTGGTAACGGCAGACTGGGTGGGACTAAAAAGTTCAATCAATCAATTCCAACTTTGCAAGATCTTTTTTTTCCCCGCGAGAAGTTGAAATTGACTGATTGATTGAACCTTTTTTTTTTTGTACACGGTGGTGGAGGCCTAAAGCGAAAAG